CATGTAGGTTACGGACAAAGCAATATTTTGCGTCGTTCTCAAGACACCATATCTCACGTCTAAGAAAAGGTTTGAAGGTTTGCACGGCGGTGAGAAATAATTGAGATTGAATAAGTTGATATTTATGTGTTTGAAAAGAATAGATTTGAATAGGTTTTTAGGGTTTTGATCGCACGAGGGCGAGGAAACGAGGTTTGACGTAAGGGTGCTTAGCTAGAGGTGAAGATTACCTGAAGCTTAAGAAAGGCTCCTCGGACCCAAGTAATCGGGAAAGCGAGTCAAAGGCTTGACTCTCTCTCTCTTTTTCACCCTTAATGCGAAAGGATAGGATGTGGTTCGAGTAAGTTAATCAGATGACGATTAATCGAAGCTTAAGAAAGGCTTCTCGGGCCCAAGTAATCGGGAAAGCGAGTCAAAAGCTTGGCTCTCTCTCTTTTTCATCCTTAACGGAGAGGCAATGGATATGGTTCGAGTAAGTGGATCAGATGACGATTACTCGAAGCTTAAGAAAGGCTTCTCTGGCCCATGTAATCGGGAAAGTGAGTCAAAGGCTTGACTCTCTCTCTTTTTCATCCTTAACAGAGAAGGAAAGGATAAGCATTGAACAATGGAATATGGTTGAAGTATTTTAAGCGGATGAGGATTACTTTAAGCTTAAGAAAGGCTCCTCGGACCCAAGTAATCTAGAAAGTGAGTCAATGGCTTGACACTCTCTCTTTTTCATCTCATATTATAAAAGATTTTTGATATAATTAACGTGATTTAATCGGATGACGATTAATCAAAACTTAAGAAAGGCATCTCGGGCCCAAGTAATCGGGAGAGTGAACCAAAGACTTGGATCTCTCTCTTTTTCATCTACGTGTTTAAGAAAAATGATTTGAATTCGTCGTATTGTACATCTTTTAGAGAAGACAATTGTTCGAACTTAAGAAAGGCTTCTCGGGCCCAAACAATCGAGAAGAGAAATCAAAGGCTCGACTCCAACTCCCTTTTCATCTTTATCAAAATTGTATTTGAATATGATTAAGTATATTAATTTAATTTGAGAAAAAATACTCGATGTGAGTCGAGATTTAAATTTAGAGTTATTAACGTGTATACTAGCAAAGTGGGCTAGTCTTCTAAGTGACCAACTAGAACTAATTGATCAAATAGGTATCACTGTAAGGAAGCCCAAGATTAGGCTTTAAATATTGTGTATGGTGATCAAAGGTTAATGGCGACACTTAAGAAGCAGTCGACTTACAAGGTGGAAAATGACTCGACAAATCAAGAATTTAGCATGAAAATGGTTTGATTGATTGAGAAACAACAATTAACATGGCATTATGAGTCAAGACAGGAGTGAGAGCATAGTCAAAAATAAAATCGAAATCATAAATAAATAATGAATAAAATAAGATTAATCCTAAGGACTTAAACAATCATTAAAACCAAAGAATACACATAATCAGGTATTTAAAAAAATAATAAAAGATAAACTAATCATTTAAACAAAATAAAAATAAATAAATCTAAGAGCTAACATGATGAGATTTTGGTTCATAAGGAAAGATTAAAAGAAAATAACAAAACCAAAATATGGGCTTCCAACCCAAACCCAAAAAAATGACCCAAATAAAATATTAATTCTATTAATAATTATCAGCTATAGAAAATTAATAAAAAAAAACTGAAATAAAATTAATTAAACAAAATGGCAAAACTTTTGAAATAAAGGATCATTGCAACGTTCAAGAGAAAGTTCTATCCATGAGAAACAAGGGAGCTTACCTCGCCGATGTCCGGCGATCTGAAACGGAGGTTCACAGATCCATTTCCCATCGATCTTTCTCAACCTCGTCTTCAAATCGCAGCCGACTCATTCTTTATCTTCGATCTCCTTCTCAGGGTTTGTTCGTCTTGGATTCCGTTTGTTGTTGTTATCGATGAGATGAAGGTGTAAATGGTTCACCGCCAGAGCTTAGTGGTTTTCTCATCGGTGATAGAGGTGGGACTTTTCAAGTGGGCCAGCAATCAACATTGTTGTGTGAGGTCAACAACTGCTTCCTTCACGTAGGTGATACTGATGCCAAAGATGGAGAGATTGCATAAGAATCATCATGTAGACGAGATAGCGAGTGCAGGTGGAATGAAGCGATCACAAACAAACTCGTAATCTTTCATATAATCACAGTTCAACGTGACCTTGGGATTTCCTGCTTTATAACCAGTTCTAAACTTCCTATGAAGTTAGGTGATACTGATGCCTTTTGACTTCATTTCGCGACTTCTCCTTTGATCCACCAATGTATGCTCTCGTCATCGGAGTCACGAAAACTCGAACAAGCAACCGTTCTTTCGGCCAATCAAGTTAACAGACAGCAGAAGTAAGTTGTTTATACACATCTTTCTCATTTCACATATGGATCTTTCTTTGAAGTTGAGAGTTTTTTCTTGAACTCATGCCATGACGCCTTCTAACTCCTTGAATTCGTAGTTCCGCATTCAGCATATTCTCAGCACTACACTCTTTTCTCCAGGAAATATACCTCGCAAGCATGGTGTGAGCATAAACGATTCTAAAGTCTTTAGCTCTAAGAAGCTTCAATAAAACCACATCAATAGAAACAACATTGTTTCCATGAAACACCCTACATGGAAGTATTGTTTTCTAAAAAGGTTATAGATGTAGGTTTTATTGCAAGTGAAAGGGTGTATCGTTTGTTGTTATGAACAGAGAAGAGGTTTTCAAAGTGGAAGAGGAGTAAGGAATCCGTTTTCTTTTTTAGGAGCAGGTTCTCAATGCAAATCTTTTCATGTTCATTTCTTATTTTGGTTTTTTTGATGTAAGTTAAACAGTGGATGGAGTAAATGAAGTGAGGGTAAATGTTATATGGTTTATATTAAGGTGAGGTAACTGATGAAGAACAATGTGAGGTTGAAGAGAGCAAAGGTACGTGTTGAATGGAGAATAACAGGTAGGCCGAAAAACATGTAATGGAATGGGTCAGAAAAATTTAAGGAAGAGGTTGAGAATGGAGATTAAGCTATATCACAGTTATCTTTAGGGGGCTGCAAGTTGATGGAGGGTTGATGGTTTTTCTAATTAGAAGTATTGATGAGAAAAGGAGGTTGGGTTTTTACGGTTCATGCGCTATAGTAGAGTTTGGAGGTTTAATGGAAGAAGTGGAGTCGTAGAGGGGGAAGAATGGCTAGAAAAGATATGAGGCCTTTTTGTAGGAATGAAGTTTCTGCGGAAACTTATATATAATATTTAGGGAAAGAGAGCTCGTCTCAAGGTTTTTCTTTGAGGTTTTTTTGTGGTTTTTTTTTTCTCTGTTCTAATTCATTTTATTCTCTTCCTCTCCTCCTCTTTCTACTGTCTTTCTTTACCTTTTTTTCGTACAAAACTTGTTTTCTACGTTAAAAAAATGGTACAAATTGTTTCTTTGTTTCTTGTTCTGTCCCTTTCAATATGCAGACTACGCTGCTGCTGCTGTTGCACCGTAATTGTACAATTTTGGATGGTATAGTGGGGTTTTGTTTTTGCTGTAGGTTACATGTTTTGTCATGATAAAAAAGGTAAGGATTGCAGACTGGTAGAACAATACAGTTTGTGGTCTAGAGACAGGTTTGGACGTGAATTGGCACGCGGGTACTGTAACTACAGGTTGGGTTTGGCACAAGTTTTTTTTGTCGCGTTTTGGATGTGAATTGGGGCTGATATATGGTGATAGCAGGTATTGGTTTTGGGGTAGTTGGTATCAGGTCTGTTGTGGTAATGGGACAACTGACAGCCGCAGTTTTGTAGAGGGCTATTTGGTGGGGCCTGTTGCAATACGGTTTGTAATGTGGGGAATTTTTTACCAGAATGCCACCACCTGAAATGAAATACACCATTTTGCCACAACTTGAAAATTTTTTGCAGAATTGCCACAAACCCAGAAAGGGTTCGTCCAACCATTGGACGACCCAATGAGGCCCATTTGGACGCAGCAAGGGTTCGGCCATCCATTGGCCGACCCTGCTCTAGCTACTTTTTTTTTTTAATTTCAGAATTAAAATGTATTATTTTTTATTATTTTTTGTTTTTAATAGTTTTTTATATATTTAAATGATTTAAATAATATTATATAATAATAAAAAAATAATTTAATTATTTTAATATTTTAATAAATGATATTATATAATTTATTAATTATAATATATATTTCAGTAATATTTAATTATTTAATTGTTTAAAAAAAATTAATAAATGATATTATATATTAATATTAATAATATATTTTTGAAATATTAAAATTATTTAAATTATAATATATATTAATATTAATAATATATATTTCACATTATATAATTAATTCATAAATATAAATAATTATATAAAAGAATAAATTGAATCATAAAAAAAGAATATTATTAATATTTAATCAGGGGAAAAATACATCATTTTTAGACGGGCCGATTTGATGGGCCTGCCACGTTCGGACATTTCCTCCGCATATGACCGATTTCTCGACAAATCCCACATCTTCTCTTTTCTTTCTCAAAATCGTCCATTTCAGTTGTAATTCTTGTACTATTTGGACGCCCTTTCTTATTTCTTCGCATTGTCTCGTCATGGCAAAGAGTGAATCCTTCATATGTTGCCAATTTTGCTGGTGTGGTAGTCCAAGGAAGCTTTGGTTGTATACTTTGAATACACTTAGAACTTTGAAAACATCTGGTATGTGCATGTTATGGTCTTGTCGTATACTGGCACATGCTGCGATTACATGAGAGCAAGGTAAATGAAATGCCTGAAACCTCCCACAATCGCACCACCCTCTCCTGAGATCAACGCTAAAAGTACCTAATGGTCGGCCATCGCGTTGGTTAATGCATTCGGCAACCATAAAACAGAATCTCTCGCGATCAAATTGAATGACGTTATGACTGCTAGATTTAATAGCCTCGTCGGCCATTCCCTTGATACAGTTTTTCGTGAAAGTTTGACCGGATGCCAACAGTTTTATTTAATCGTGTCCTCGTTTTCCAAACAGCGATCCCAGACGATAGTACGTTGACTTGACCAATGCTGTAATAGGAAGGTTTCGGGTAGCCTTAAGTACCGAGTTCATAGATTCGGCTAAATTTATGGTCATGTGTCCCCACCGCTGTCCTCCGTCAAACGCCCTCGACCACTTCGCTCTGGGAATATTGTCAATCCACTCCAAAGCTGCTCTATCTGTTCTTCGTAATTCGCCCCTGTAGTAGTTAAATGTTGCCTCTGTTAGTGCATATCCTGAAAATAATTAAACAAAATGATTAGTAAAACAAAATGATCAAAAAATTATCAATAAAACTTGTGAAGATGTAGACATACCCATGTTGACAACTGTTTTTCGTAGTGCTTTGTTTCTGAACTCACGCATGAAGTTTTGCGCAATATGTCTGATACAGTAAACATGTGAAGATGGAGGAAACTGCCACCCATTTTCAGGATCATCGTAAGCACTCTTGATTGATGGATGTCGGTCGGATATTAGACAAAGATTGGCCTGGGGGGTCACGTGCATTCTCAAATTCTTGAGAAAGAAACTCCAACCATCCTTTGTCTCTCCTTCAACCAATGCAAACGCTATCGGAAAAATGTTACCATTTCCATCTTGTGCCACAGCCATTAACAAAGTCCCTTTGTACTTGCCGTACAACCAGGTTCCGTCTATTTGCACGATTGGTTTACAGTAACTAAAACCACGGAAACACGGTTCAAATGCCCAAAAAAGTCGGTGAAATTTTCGTTTGTCACCCAACTGGGTTCCGTCATCTGTAATAATCGGCAATGTTTCCAACTGTATAACAGTTCCAGGAAGATATGTCTTCAGCACCAACAACCACTGTGGTAGGTCATTGTAAGACGTCTCCCAATTTCCATAAAGTGCTTCTACAACTTTGATCTTTGCAATCCAAGCTTTCCGATATGAGATTCTATAACCGTATTTTTCAACAATGTGGGCTTGTATAACTTTGACTTTCAGTGAAGCGTCGCTGTTAACAAGTTCTCTGATGCTGTGGCTAATAATTTCAGAATCTAATTTTCTATGATCCTGTGACATAGAGGTTGTAGTGCAAGTGTGTGATCCCTTTATAGTAGCGATCTCCCATAATGTGCTTTTTTTACGCACAGCAGCTCTACATTTGAAGATGCATTGTGCGTTCGTACATTTTATTATATACCTTACTGAATCAGATTTATATACTGCATAGTCAAGGTTGTTACTAATATGCCAATGTTGTAAAAAAAGAACACACTCTTCCTTATTTTCAAACACCAAGCCTACTTCCAATTTTTCACCATTATGGTTTGGTTTTTCATTTTCAAAAATATAGATGGGTTGAGAAGACTCCATACATATGTTTGACATATGCACTGGTGGATTGTACAGATTTATGGGTTGAGCATATATTACCTCTGACTGCATGAGTTCATCGTGACCGTCGTCATCGTCATCACCGAATAGGTCTTCAAAGCGAACATCATCGAGCTCATCGTCACTGTATTCACCAACCTCCTCGTTCCGGATGAAAGGTTCATTATTTTGCGTTATTTCTTCGTCAGTTGTTTGGCTCACTCCGTACTGATACGAATATGATGATTGTGTTGGATATGCCTCGTCTTCAAGGCGAACGTATAATTCAATTGTCTTCAACTGGGGCATTGTGTAATGACATTGAAACATTGATTTGACTGCGCTATCTGTATCTATCTGCATCATTACGTAGAACACATCATCGTCTACCCCATTACGTATTGGTTGACGGTAAGTAATATCCTGGACAGAACGATTCACTTTTTTTTCAATTCTATCTTTTAGATGACGGATATCAGAACTTCGGTGAAGTTTGAACATCGCCGTATCTGTTCCGTTGAATGAAAAACCGATATTTTCATCAGTAAACACGGAACCGTTATAGTGCATAGTGACCAATGTGTTTCTATCTGCCATGACCAAGGTTTTTTGAAATTAACAGTATGAGTGTATGAGTGGGAGGTAGATGTGTAGTCTACAACAATTGCATGTAAAATATATAGAAGAAGTGTGCATGCTGAACAAGTTAAGGGACGTCCATTCAAAGGACGAACCCACGCATGCATAGTAAAGGGTCGTCCAACCCAAGGACGTACCTATTAATGTTTAGTAAAGGGTCGTCCAACTAAAGGACGAACCCATGGGGAACGTGTAGGGGTTCGGCCAACGCAAGGGCGAACCATTAAAGAGGGAATTTTGCATGCAAGCCACTTGTCGTTGCATGCTTCTAGGGTTTGAACTATTAGGGTGCAGAAGAATCCATTAAGGCTGATGAAAAATAATAGGGTGCAGTATAGGGTGCATGCATGTGAATTTCCAAAGGTTATTAGTGTGTATCACTACTTCACCACTTTAACATTTTTCTTATAAATACAATGTAAACCACATTTTAAAAATCATCACTTCAACATATATCACTACTTACTTCTAAATCAATAATTCAATATTTTTAAATTGCAATGTTGTGGATGGGAGAAAATCATCGGGGAACACCGGCCAATATTGCCGCATTTGTATGTTATTTTTATTCACATTTCTGTTATTTATTTATTTGAATTTATTGATTTGTATCCATTTCAATCATTCAACAATTTTGTATTTATTTGTTTTTATATTTGTAACAGTCCGATAGCGAGAGATTCAGACTACATTCTCATGCTATCGATGCACCAAGCAAAGAAATTAAACCGTTTTTGGAACGAGCTGGTTTCGCAAATGTTGCAGAAATCTCCTCAATCAAAGTTGATTCAGAGCTTGTAATCGCTATGTTGGAGAGGTGGAGACCAGAAACACATACTTTCCATCTACCAACAGGTGAATATACCATCACTTTGGAGGATGTGAGTATGTTATTGGGTCTTCGCGTGAATGGTAAGGCTGTGAATGGTCCTACTCAGGTAGGAGGTGATGTATATATGGAACATTTAGGCGTAGAACCTACAACATCTGATAAACATAAAGGGTACGTTAAAATTGTTTGGCTACAAAGTACATTAGCACGATTACGACAAAAAGCAACACCAACCGATGAGGAAAATATTTTACATGCAAAAATATATATTTTATTACTCATAGCTAAAGTATTAATGCCAGACAAGAGCCATAACTATTTGCATTCTTCTTGGATACCCCTAGTTGGAGATTTAGATAAATGCAGAAGATATAGTTGGGGTCCTGCTTGTTTGGCTACATTATATAGACATATGTGTAAAGCATGTATGGTAGGGGTCAAAAGTATTGGTGGGTGTGTTCTACTACTAAGTGTTTGGACATATTGGCGTATACCACTAATAGCTCCAGAGTCTCCCGCCAATGCACACCATCCTTATGCAACAAGGTAAATTTTGTTTACATTTTCTTTATCATTTATTTTATTTTTGTTTCCATCCCTAAATTATTTATCTTTTTTTTAACATTGCAAGATTTGTTCGAAGAGGCATGGCTTATCAAAATAATCCTCGGCACTACGTCCGAGGATTTAGATTCGCACTAGACAGATTAAAGGCTAACGATGTAAGTTTGTTAGCGCAACATTCTCTAAATATGTGTCACCCATTGTATTAAAACTCTAACACTTATATTTTCTGTAACAGTTTATTTGGAGGCCATACCCAAGCTACCCCGAATGCGTCCTTCAAGATAGCCAGATTTGGAGCGCTACAACTTCAATTATCAGTTTCCACGTTGAAATGCATCAGGCTGATAGGGTCAAATTGCAGTTTGGATTTCAACAAGATATCCCTCCTCAGCCTAGATGTCTACGTCAATAACATGAGACTGATATGCCTAATACATGGGGAGATCATTGGCGCAATATAAATAAAGAAGAAAATAACGAGTGGAGAAACAGAACAAACTTGACCCTTCAAGGTAACATGGTTAACGGTAACTGTGTTCATAGTGCTGCATATATGCAATGGTTTTTATCCATTCCATTTATGCACGCTTCTCAAGGTCAGTTCCTAGAGGACCCCCGTCAGTATGCAACGTCTTCATCACAACAAAGATCCTCTTCGCCCATGCCTCAAGAAATGCCTCAGGTGAACCCTTCACAATTTGAAACACAGACATCTTCATTCAACCAGCCAACATTCTTTGCCACCTCCTCTCAACAACCAACACAACCACAACCCCAACCAACATATCAACGCACTCATACTACATTCTTTGCCACCTCCTCTCAACAACCAACACCGTACACCCCAACCCCAGAAACAAACTACTACTATCGACAACAATATCAGGAACAAGCCACATTTCAACCTTCTTTTCAATTCACTCCGATCCCTCAGCCTAATTTTGATTTCTCTTACCCCCAACCACAACACCAAACATTTAACCCTTCAATGTCTCAACCAAGTTCATCCGGTCGCACCGACAATGCTTATTACCCTCCCATCCAACAAAACCCTCCAACCACTTTCACCCAACCATTCTAGTCAGCCCCTAACTTTACCCTAACTGATGATCAACTCATGGAATGGCCAGGTTCGGTTACTGATGTGGACATGCTTGATACATCACATCAACCTGAAAATGAAGAGTTGACTTCCGACTCTACCCCATCACCTCCAACATCACCTCCAATACGGCAAACTCAAGAGTTAGGCAGGGGGAAACGTGTGAAAAAGAGTACATTGTGTGGAACTGGCGGTCATTTGCGTAGATAAAAATGATGTATTTTCTCCACTCATCAATATTAATAAAATATCTTTTTTTATTTTATCTAATTATTTAGTTAAACAATTAATTATATAATTTATTATTTTATATAATTATTTATCATTTTGTATATTAAATAATATTAAAAAATAATTTGAAATAATTAAATTACTTATTAGGTAATATAAAATATCATTTAACTAATTTTAATATATAAAAAACAATTAATTAGATAATGTAAAAAACAATTATTAATATTTAATAATTAATTATATAATGTGAAATTTATATTATTTATATTAAATTATTATTAAAATAATTAAATTATTTTTTTATTATTATATAATATTATTTAAATCATTTAAATATATAAAAAACTATTAAAAACAAAAAATAATAAAAAATAATACATTTTAATTCTGAAATTAAAAAAAAAAAAAGTAGCTAGAGCAGGGTCGGCCAATGGATGGCCGAACCCTTGCTGCGTCCAAATGGGCCTCATTGGGTCGTCCAATGGTTGGACGAACCCTTTCTGGGTTTGTGGCAATTCTGCAAATTTTTTTCAAGTTGTGGCAAAATGGTGTATTTCATTTCAGGTGGTGGCATTCTGGTAAAAATTTCTAATGTGGGTATAGTTTCTAATGGCAATAGTTGTTAGTGCGTATGGCTTGTTTTTATGCTACAAAATTGCTTTGTAGTGATATGGCGGGGTCATGGCAAGTTGTGGTTGTACCTATGTAGAACTTTTTTCAATATTTTTTAATTGTAAATGTAATGGGCTTGAGTGAAAAATCATGTGGACTTGGTTTAACAACTTTTGTAACATGGATTTGGTGATGAATTTTATTTTGAAATGGGCTTGTATATTTGAGTCTTAAAATTTAAAGTTTTGAATGAATTTGCAAATTTAAATTTGGAATGAAACTTGAACTGGATCTGAAATATGCAACGGACACTTGAAATGAGATGAAATTTAAACTTTTGAATTTGAGACTTTTGTACTTGAAACTTTGAAAAAAATATTGGATTTGAGAAGAAATGGAAAAGGAATTTGAACTTGAGTGAAAATATGAAGTTTGAACTCGAATAGAATTTTGGGAAGGAAATTTGAAATGGAAACGAGCTTGATTTGAAAATAGAATTGAAATTTGAATAAAATAGAATCGAAGTTGAAATTGGAGATGGATTGGATAATGAGAATTTGATAAGAACATAAATGGGTCTTAAAAAAAATGGATTTTTGGAGGAAGAATGGATTTTTAATATAATTGTAATTTGAACCAAGCCATGAATCATATCCACAAGTGAACCACTTGGAACAATTTTGACACTCCTGACTTGATCCAACAAAGCCTCCTCAAAGC